GAACATGAAGAAACAACAGAGTTTATTTTTAAAATGAGACACTCTTTCTGCCATCCTAGCATCTTGGAGACAGAGGCGGAAGGACCAGTTCAAGGCCAGCCTGGACTATGTATCAACATTGTTTCAAATGCAAAGAGAGATGTGGTGCATGCACCCATGCTCACACATACACACACACACATACGCACACTCACTCACTCTCACTAAAACTCACATGTACATGAGAATGTGACCACACCTGCACACATATGTATGAACACACATAGGCACACACACGTACGCATGCACACACATTCACAATACATGCATTCACACATGTGTTCCTAACAGGCACACACGCATGCATAATCAGAGAGATTCATAGTTCTTCAGGCATGCATTATGTATTATAGCAAGGTTCTGCCACTCTCTCTACTTTACAGTCTTCTTCAGCAGAACTATTCAGACCAACCTGTTTGTTTTTTTTTCCTTTAATAATTTCGGGTTATAGAGACACTATAACCACATATATATGAATCCAAACATTCTGGTCCAGCTTGTGTCACTTTTCGTCTTCAGCAACAAATATAATAAATATTCCTTCTGCTTACAGTAGCAAAGCAGGCATTGAGTTGATCCGAGGAAACTAGGAACTCAGTGCATTCAGAGTCTACCTGATTTTAAACTATTGGAAACACAAGTCACTGGAGTGGTGGGATGAAGAATACAAGATATAGGATAGAGCAGATACATGATAGGGCAGGGTTCAACAAATTCAGTTAAATAACTGACAGTCAGTGAGTAATTAATATGCACATGTTGCAAGACCTCTGCGCTGTTTAAGTCATTAGTAAATACTTCTTGTCACTTCTTGAAGAAAGAAAATGCATTGCACTAGTACCTTCTTGCTCTGGTAAGGACATCTAGGTAATGTCAAGAGAGTATGGATCTGTGAACCGGAAGTAGGAGAGCTGTGCAGAGTCAGTGGGAGCTGAGAAGGCACAATCATTACTTTTCAAGATCTGTGCATTTATATGTATTTTGTTCTATCACATTACTTCTAGTAATACAATATTCTTTTCATTAAGGACAATGAGTTTGGTGTCCTGTTGTGAAGAATTCTAGCTTGGTCTTAAGGCTGAAGTTTGTTGACCTGGGGTCCTCATGGGTGAGTCTAGAGGTGGAAGCAGACAGAATATCCACCTTTCCGTGACCGTCACTGGAGACTACAACCTCTCTTCAAAAGCATGACTTTGGTTCCACTCCAGATGCAGGATCAAATCATGATGACAATTAGTGGAGGAAAAAGAACGGTGTTTCTCTTTGTGTACGCAATCCTGTTATGGAACTACCATAATCACCTTCCTGAGTTCTCAATAGGACCTCTTCTCATGCCCCTTTTGAAGGTTCCATTCTCTCTCAGATATCCTTTCACCCACAATGCATTTAAAACTTCAGATCCAGCACCAACTTTCTCATCTTCCTCCTGCTAAGCTTCTGAGCTAGTGGTTCATCAGTCCGTACCCACAGTGGATTTCCTGTTAGTGCATGTGTCCCAATCTGTGTGTGAGGCCACTACACTTGTGATCTGAATCCTATGAGTCTCCCACCTCTGAAGAATTCTATTTCTACGAACTTGCCTCTCTCTACTCTTTATGTGAAATAGGACCTTGAATTTCAACCAGTTTATGAAAATGATTTAAGATTTCCCATCCCTGTGATAGTCATAATCTAAGTCCACCCAGGTGTACCTGATACATGTCACCCTCGCATGGCGACACTATTTCTCTGATAATTTTGTACTTTCCTGGTCATCCATGACCGCTGTTCCCAACTTCCATGTTCTCTTGCTGAGGGTATATTGTTCTGAGTCACACATAGGCTGTGTTTTACTTGAAAATTGAGCAGCAGTCAAGACAGCCAACACACCCTGCCCTGTTGGATAAAACCCAGTAAATAGCTATTGATTACCAATCAGGACCTTATGGATATTCTGGGTGCTTAATTCAGTTAGTATGCGGCTTTGCTGAACATGGCTGGGCTAGTTCTAGAATGACCTAGGATAAGCTAAGGCTTTGGCTTTGCATACTCAACCAACATCAGTCTACCACTTTATTTCTCCTTAGAGTGCTTTAGTGGTGGATAACCAATGACAGGTTTTGGCTCTTAAGTTTTTTTTTTTTTTTTTTTTGGAGGTGCAGTCTCACAATGTAGTCCAAGCCTTCTTCCCAGTCTTCCCCGGTTCTGACATTCCATACAGGAATCACCATCTGCCTAATTCTTGGCTTTGTGTGTGTTTGCTAATATGGAGGAAAATATTGTGATCTTTATATTTATCTCCAGCTTAGCAAATAGCAGAGTTTTGTCTTCAGGTGTAGTGAAGATGAGCAAGAACTCAGGAGGGGCCCGTTTCTATTTTGTAGAGTGTGCACAAAAGATCCCGACAAGAATGGAGAAGAATTAAAATATGCTTAGGGGTATTCATTTCTCTCTGAAGAACTGTGTGAACAGAAAAGTCCTTTTAAGATAAGTACATGCTCAAAAGAGAGGCTTTTTGCTGCGACTGGAAAGGCTTTCAGCAAAGTGGGTTATCTCTGAGATATATGAAATCTTTCATATGCAAATAAAGTAAAACTTGGCAGCTGTACCATCTGTGAGAATGTGAGAGTTCTGGGAAATGAGTCATTCAGTAACAGAGATATGAAACTGTTTTTGAATATAAAAATATGTGAGCTACTTAAGAGTCCAGGATGCTGGGGTTAGCACTTCTGGCAGTAGAGTATCTCAGATTGACAGGGGGGGTCGAGAAATTAGCAAACACTACAAGTAGTGAAAGGGGAAAGCTGTATGAAGTTAATACCACTTTAAAAAAAATGGTATAGCTTCATAATTGGAATCAAATAGTAAAGTTCTTTGGAGAGATTGCTAGTTCTGCATAATTCTCTCGGCTGGAAAAACCTTGGGTATGGGGACAGTGGGCGGCTTGCCTGTGGGACGTGTGGAGCAACAGGCACACTCAGAACAGATGCAGCTTGCCAACAACCGGTTCTCATCTCTTCCTTCTCCGTGGGACACTGTCTCACTCGTGAGAAAATCGTGTGCATACGTGGATCTGCTCCTAACGTGCTTAGGTCTCAAACAAACTTGTGTAGGCTCAGAAATTTGTTAGCTTGTGTTTAGAATAGTGTACTTAAGCGTCCACATGGAGAGAATCGACTTTTTGGTTTTCATGAGATGAGACAGAAAACTAAATCTCACCATGTAAGGCAAGCCATCATCTATGCTCAGTGGTGTTCACTTTATGGCTTTTCAGAGGGGCAGCTCTCCTCACTTCATATGTCTACCCCACTCTGTCTCTTCCTCCTCCCCACCTCCATAACTGGGGCCTCCAAATCTAAGGTGAAGAGGAAATTCCCCAACAGGGAGACAATGGAGACGGCTTCTTTGAAATGTTTTGGACTTTTCTGCTTATTAAGGAATAATTTATTTTTTTCTTATAATGGAAAAATCTATCACATAAAGCCCAGAAACAAACTAGATTGGTTTTCCTTATTCATAAAGTTGGAAAAATAAGGAATGACCTGGAATTTCAATTTCCTCCTGCTCATCAAACTTGAATATAAAGTTGAATGTTTCTGAGATCTAAAATGTGTAAAATGATAATAAGGTTTACTAATGTCTGATTGCACTGGAATGAAAATTTGTCTACATATAGTGTTTGAAGGTCCAATGTTAGTGAAAGGAATGCTGCATATCTTAGTTCCAGGACTCAGAAGGCAAACCAGGTCTACAGAGCGCTATAGAGAGAGCTTGTCTAAAATCAAAAGCAAAATGCAGTACTTCCAGCATCCAATATCCTCAGTGGTGTGTATTCAGAAGCCTTCCTGGGAGGGAGCTTTGCAGCAGGTGAAGGGACTGGACCCAGGTGTCACACTTCTAGGGTGATGTCCTGGTGCCATCTTTTCCCAGGCAACTCATAAAATTCTGAGGCTCTAATGGCTATTATGAGAAGGGAATTACCACTTCCTCTACACCTAGAACTAAGGTAACTTATACATTGAACTGACAAAGTACCTAGCTCTCAGGGATTCAGCTCATTTAATACAGAGATCACGACAAGGGCAAACTAATTCATTATGTTCGAGGTTCACTTCTTTACAAACTATAAAATTTGTTCAGGTATCTCTATCTATCTATCTATCTATCTATCTATCTATCTATCTATCTATCTATTATGTATACAATATTTTGTCTGTGTGTGTGTCCGCAGGCCAGAAGCGGGCACCAGACCTCATTATAGATGGTTGTGAGCCACCATGTGGTTGCCGGGAATTGAACTCAGGACCTTTTGGAAGAGCAGGCAATGCTCTTAACCACTGACCCATCTCTCCAGCCCCTTGTCCAGGTATCTTATACTATCATATTATCAGTTTTTCAGAATCATCTTTTTTCAAAAATGTGCTTAAAAGAGAATAACATTATGGTGCTTGTAGTTAGGTAAATATAACAACGATGGAATCCATTTCTTCTAAGGCTACCTGTAACATTATTTCTTTCTGTCTCTGTTCCCACAAAGATCTTAGAAATGGTTTTTTTGAACTAATAATGAGATCTTACAGTTTTTCTCATTGACTGATTAATTAAAGTCTTGGCATATTCATTTTAGATGTCTATAAGGATCACAATTATGTTCTCCTTTTAAAAATCAATAATAGACCATCTCCTAAGCCAAAGAAAAGAAGTGTGAAAATACACCTTAAGAAGGCTCTGGTGATTGTTTTCTGTTCAAGTGTCAAAAATCAAGTTCCTCCCTTTCTTAACTTGCTTCATATTAAATGCCAGGCACACCTACTGCCAGGAGGGACGACATAGTGATATTTATTCTTTAATTTAGTGCCATTCATGACACATGTGATATGAAAGTTTGTTGCTGTCCAGTAAGCTTCAGGTGCACAATTCCCATCCCTTCATAGTGAGAGAATGCGTCCTCCACACTATCTGCTTGGACGCATGGAGAGCGTTCAGTCGGTGGCTCTGTAGTTCACGTGAACTTCTGCTTGCAGGCTGCACACCATGCTCAGCAACTGATTCATCACACTCTCCATACATGCGTTGTAGCTCCTGTTCAACTCCTTTATCTTCTCCAGTGTTTGCTCTTCTATTTCATCTGATAGGTGGCTCTGAGAGCCCATTATCTATGAGAGCAGAAGATGAGATGTATTTTACCATATGTCGGATGAAAATAGTTGAATTATTTTATAAACGTCATCATATTTTTAATGGTTGTTCTACGGTGTGAGTGTGTGTGTGTGAGAGAGACAGACAGACAGACACACACACACACACACACACAGAGAGAAAGAGAGAGAGAGAGAGAGAGAGAGAGAGAGAGAGAATTCTTTCTTCTGGGAACAGACAAGATTACGAAGACCCTGGTTATGGAGGATGAACGTCCCTAAAAACATAGTGGGCTCCGTCCACAGACTGCATTCAGGTTTCTAATCTTTATTATGCCTTGCAATGCTTTTTACATCAAATTGAAAACATTTGCAATAATTTCCATTATTTAATTTTCTGAATTCTAATCCTTGAAAGTAGAGTAGAAAGATAGCATTAAACCCATGTTTTCCTGATTTTACAGAGCAAAAATTATATTTTTTAAGGAAGATGTAGACAAAACATGTTGCCTAAGGTAATTCACACGTAGATATCTATGAAATATGTAGAATATCAAGTATAAAATTGAAAATTTTAGCATGAACTGGTTTATTTCAGGTTAAAATATGCTTGTTTATTTAGTCACCTTTAAATTTTAGACACACTGAAATATTATTGATTGCTATTTATTTATCAGTGTTTCCTTTCATTTTTCATCCCCCCATCCAGTTAGCATCTTCATCAAATCATTATTTATCTAAAATATAATGTAACAAAGAACAGGGTCAATGTAAAGGAAGGGTGCAGCGAAACACTGGGAGAATCATTCTTTCCTAAAAGTTAATGGTTCGCTCATAATTCATCTCTCTAAGCTCTACCTCTCATCCTTGTCTTCCTCTTTTTCTTACTCCTCTACTTCCTTGTCTCCCTCCTCTTCTTTTTGGGGATGGCTCTCATATGACCCACATTTGCCTCAAACTCACCCTGTTGCTGATAATGACCTTGACCTCTTTGTCCTCTGACCTCCTCCTCTTTAGAGCTGGAATTACAGCCCCTGCATCACTATGCTCCACCTGTCGATTCTGTGGATTGAACACAGGGCTGCATGCATATGATGTAAACAATCTAACAGCTAAGCTACATCCCTGCTTGATCCTTCCTAAACATGGATCCGTTAAGGCTCTCTATTGAGGGTTTCTGCCTCCTTTCTGTTTTAGAAGCTGTGCATTTGATGCAACCCCAGGTATGCATCAGTGACTTCTGTTGTAGAGTTCTTAGGTCACTTTGACTCTAGAGTCTAGAACCTTTCTGGTTCCTGTGCTTGGCATGAAACACAACCCCAGGTGCTGGGTTCAAGTTCTTCTCTGTTTATATTCTAGACACCGGGAGAATAAATCGAAGCGTGTGGTTTTGAGAAGCTACAGCCCCTGAGAACCAAGACAACCTTACCTAAAAAGGATGAGGATAACAGAGTGTGTACAAAGTACATGTGCACAGAGTCAATTCCATGGTTAAAAATATTTGAGAACTACTTAACAGAATAGTTCCACAACATGCATATTTTAAATTCTAAATCCAGTGTGGGAGTCTACAAAATGAAACAAAGATTTAATTAAAAGTCTTATGCGGTAAAAAAAAAAATCGAAAGGAAAATACTTGTCAAACTATTGCCTATGCTCAGTACATATTACTCAAGTGAGAGCCTCCCCAGATATTGCAAATAACTCAGTTCCCCTGTTCTGGAGCTCACATTGCCCAAAGCCTGAGCATTTGGGGGCATTTTATAAAAACGGAAGTTGGTCATTCCATAGCATGCCTTGATACATGTAGGCTAAGAGTGTTGTTACTGACCTTCTGTGTGCCCATTTTCAAACCTTTCTGGTAGCCTTGCATTGATGCTGGTGTTAAGAGTGTTCAACACTTGATACTTTCCTCTGTAATTTAAATATTCCAGGTGAAGGGGTAGAACAAGGTGCTGACCCCAGGAGACCATGCCAAGGAAGATCTGCAATGATGGGTTTCTACGACGCTTGACTTAGCACAGGCTCTAGCTACTTCTGTATGTGTGCCTTTGATCACTGGCTTGGGTGATGAGTAGTTGATTATTGTCCAAAGCAGAGAGCAAACTTCCAGTCGGGGTTACATGGAATTGACTCCTTCCCAGGAAAAGAGACTCAACGAGCTTCAAACCAAGCACTTTCTAAATTTATAGTCAGTTTTGTTTTTTCTTAACAATGAGGTGTAGCGGTCATTTTGGGAGCACCTACAGAAGACAACCAAAGCTGGCTGTAGTTGGCGAAGGCCATCCTCTGTTCTAGTGTGTCATTCTTATGAAAGGCTTAGCTAGCAAGGATAAGGACACAGGGAAATGCTAACTGATTTGTTTGTTCAGCGAGGGTCTATTGAATATCCACTATGCAGCAGTAGTAGGATATCAAGGGAAGCAAAAGAATACAACAAAGAATCCACAGTTTCTTAGACTTATGGTTGAGAAAGACTGGGGGACAACCACAATACATGCAAATATATAATATATCATACAGTGATGAATGCTATGGAAAAAATCAAAGAAAAATTGTTTTACATTATTTTTAAAAGAGCTTTTTAGATAGAGTGTAAGGAAAAAAGGCTAACATTGACCATGGATAAGGAACGATGAGAATGCCAAAATAGAAGAGGGCTACGAAGCCCAAGAATAGAATGAATGAAGGCCCCGCAGAATTGGGATTCTTTGTTTCCCTGGGAAGAAAAAAGTCAGTACAATTAGAAAAGAAAAGTTTAAAAACATACAGAGAATATAAGACCCAATCACGAGGGCTATATTTACATGTATGGTTAAGAAAGAATTTAGAATTTTGGTTTCTAAACACTGACAGGAAAAATTAATTTTTCTGACTGATCCACTATATGCAAAGATGTATATGTGTGTGGGCATGCGTGTGTGCGTGTGCTGAGAATTGAGCTCAAGGCCTAACTCCTGCTAGGAAAACACTCTAAGAACATAGCTGAGTATATTCTTAGACTAACAAGGAAAATTATTTGAACAAAAAACTTATTGAGAAAAGATTTTTAAAATTTTGACAATTGTGTTCAATTTTTGAATCTCTGTGAGTTTTTTTTTGTATTTCTCATTGTTTTAAAAATAGCTGTAAGTGAATTTTTAAACTTTTGTGCTTCATTTTGCAGTGGCAGCCTTCTGAATAATATTATATTTATATTTTAATGGAGCAAAGTGTATTACATAAACTTAGCTTTGATAAATAGAGCTTAATGATTTTTTTTAGATCTATTTGCAGCATGACATGGTGGCCTTTCTGAAAATATAATGCTCTCATTTTTTATTATTTTACTGTTATTTACTTATATGGGTATGTGTATATACATGCAGAGGCCAGAACAACGTGTTGGATCTCCTGGAGCTGAAGTTGCCCGTGGTTTGAACTGCCAGATATGAATGCTGGGAATTGAAGCCAGGCCCTCTGGAAGGGCAGGAAGAATCTTGAATATTGAGCCATCTCTCCAGCCCCATCATGTACTTACCTTTTACTACAAACTTCATACACTTACAAAAACAACAGTATTATTTTAAAGCCAGGCTTTTTTTTGTATTTAAATGAAAAATCACTGAATTATTGCATCAGCTTGCAAGCAATAATGAGAAAATCCCAGGGGCTTTCTTAGCTTTTGAAACAGGGTCAGGATACTGTGAACTCCAGCCTCTTACTTCCATCTCCTGAGACCGGAATTAACCAGTTGTGTGCTGCACCAGAGAGCTAGGGTGGATATTTACATGTATCTGCTGAAGGAGAGCTGACCTAACAAATTCATTCTGCGTCTTAGCCTGAACATCAGTCACAGACCCTGTTATTTAAAATCAATCCACACAACATGCATTCCTGAGGTAAGAATACTTCAACTGATCCTTTCAGATGTCTATTTGATGATATGAACGTGAATACCCATCATACATCAGACAAGCCGAGTGCCCTCCTTATATGTCAAAAAATGCACGAAAGAGAAATTAGTAACTCATTTCTTTAAGATTTGCTTCTATGTTCAACCTCGGCTAGACTGTGTCCACTTAATCCCTGCAGATTGTTCTAGTCTTCTGCCTCAATCCTTACATGCAGGAACTCCTGATCCAAGCACTGGGAAGTCAGCGCTGGCCGCTTGCTCACCTTGGACTGCTTTAAGCGGAACGCCTTCTCCATCTGCAGTCTGTACTGGTCAGTCTCGGCCACAGCTTCTTCCTTAGCTTGCTTCAGTCGCCTCCCTTTCCCTGAGAATTCACAGCAGCAGAAGCAACAGATTTCCTTTTTACCACTTACAGCAGTGCAAATGATGGAAAAACATTCTTTTTTCTTTAGATACAAGGTCTCACTATGTAGTCCTAGCTGACCTGGGACTTACTTTGTAGACCAGAATGGCCTCAAACTCACAAAGATCTGCCTTCCTCTGCCACCTGAGTGTTAGGATTACAGGTGTGCACCACCACCCCAAAAGCATTCAGCTCAGAGCTAGCACTGCTCTTGTAGGACATCACCCCGCTCCCATTTCTAGTGGCTCAGACCCGCCTGTAACTCCGTGAGTGTGCACATCATGTGCACAGGCATACACACATTAATGCATTGTAAAAATAATAAAATAAATATTTGGGCTGGAGATATAGCTTAACCATTAAATATAATTTATCTTCTAAAGAATACTAATTTTGCTCCCAGCAAATGACTTTTATTTTAAAGCACATTGATGAATCCCTGCTCATATATATATATATATATATATTATATCCCATATTTATATACTCCCCTATATACATTTCTACTATGTCCAACCTCATTAAAATAATATTCAATTTTTTCTTTTCTTTCCATCAATTGGGTCCTTTAGAGCAACGCGTAACAACTTTCTTTCACACTTAGATGTCACTCACATGTTAAAATAAATGATCACCCATAGACTCACAGTAGTAACAGCCAGGGAACAGCTTTCCGCTGCCACTTACTCAAGAAAGACATGATTTGGTCCGTTTTTTCTGTCCTGACTGGTTGCCAGGCATCCTTCAGTCCACACCAACTGGATTCTATTTAGTGCTGGCAGTCCTCCAAAATCGCCGCAGACTGCAGCTCAGACTCTATCAAATGACTTTCAATTTTTAAGGCACTTTATTGGGATTTTTTTCTTTCCCGTTTGCTGCTCTAGAATGTCTGATTAAGCCCCACAACACATCAAAGTAGTTTTTCTTATAGTAGCTTTCTCTGAGAGGGACTTGAAAGAGGCTGTAAAACCAATTGTTTTTAATGGTTGGGAGATTTAGCTAAGTACCCCCTTTCTTTTTATTAAGAGCAAAGGTGTAAGCCTTAAGCCACAAGACAAGGTAAGATGAAAGTCGTAAACAAACCCGACGGTCGGCATCATTAGTCAAGCACAAGAGGTACGTTTGAGGACAGTCTGATCATAATGGTTGCTGTGTCCCCAGCAGCCTCCACCTTCTAGGGGAGAGGCATGAATACTCTATAGCATTGAAACTTTAAAGATAAACTCTGAACCTTATTATTTCTTTTCCTACAATCTATTGCCATTCAGTGTCATTTAAGGCACTGTATTCTTGACTTATTTGAACTGTTTATGTTCTGATCAAGTCTCAAGTTTAAGCTACAAATTTTGTTAAGTGTGAAACTGTACAGAGTTCGAACTAGATAAGTAATTCTCACTAAGCAGCAAGAAGGGATTTAAAGCATTTTAAATTATCATTATTACTAGTGTGTGCGTGTGTGTGTGTGTGTGTGTGTGTGTGTGTGTGTGTGTACGTAGGTGGATATGACAGTGTGTGCTCATGCCAAGACATGTGTGGACATCGGAAGACCACTCACTCTGCAGAGTGCGTTCTTTCCTTACATCTTTCTGTGGGCTCAAACTCCAATCCAGTCCTTCATGTAAGAGCCTTTACCTCTTGAATTGCCTCACTGGAACAACAAGCAGAAAATGTCTTGATATAAACATTTATCTGTCACCTGTATCTTGGTAGCATTTGTGCCAGGTGCAGATTGCTTCTAAATTTCTCTCCTGGCTGGGCACGAGTTGTTTCAGTGGTCACTGAAAATGGGTTTAGGATAAAGACAGATTCAGTTGGGTGGGACTAGGTAACGCTTGTTCAGAATAGATGATTAGCTTTATATTCGCTTTCTTGAAAGACAAAGTCTGATGGAATCTACCACTGTCATGATGCTTTAAAGCTTAATGCAACACTAACAGCAAGGCTTTCCTTCTGCCTATGTACTTAATGCTTGCTGCCAATTGTATACTCGGATGCTTCAGGCCATTGTGGCTCTATGTATTTCATGGCAATAAACACACCCTATTCGCAGAGGTTCTCTTGTCACATCTTGTCATTAACATCAAGACAAAAACACAAAATACCTTGGTATTTTCTTAGTGATAATGACTTGTATACATAGTTACCTCACAAAATGAATGGGGTAAAACATCTTTTGTCCCCATCTTAATCCCATAAAAAAAGACTGATTTCAAAGTTATGACTCTAGTACATTTTTTTTTAAAAAAAAATATAACAAAAGGAAAGGCTGTGTGTGCCCTACCCCTGAGCAGAATCCAGCACTGCCCTAAGAGGTTCCACCACACAGTGACAAACTTGGAGCCTGTCTGTGATTCCTCTGTCATGGCACCAGTCACCTGCTGGTTCTCATTCAATTACAGAGGAGAGCCGCGGGAAATCACTGCTGGCGCAGCAATTTTCTGGGTAGACTCAGCAGCTGCCGCTGTGTGAGAGCCTGCACATGCTATTCCTGATTTAACCCAGTGAAAGAAATGGAAGCCTAAAGCCGATGGTTTCATTAGAGGTGAAGCGAAATGCATGCATCAAATCCACTCATATTAACTTCTAGCTCACGTCTCTCTGTGCATGGGAAGAGTGCCAACATCTGAAAATATGCCGATTTCTTAAGCATTAAAACAAAGTTACTGCGAACCAAAAGAAGTTCATATTGGTCTTTATTCCCAATATATTCTGTGTCAACCATAGGGGTGACTACATGGGATAATCTGGATTTTTATATGACAGTTGATTTTATGCACTCATAATACTTATGTGGACTTATAAAGCCAAGAGTTCTGGTTTTGGGTTTAGAAAATGAATTCTTTGTATTCATCATGATTTTAAGTAATATTTAAAAAGATACTACAGAGTAGTTCCAGAAGGGATGGATTTCCTTTAGTCTCCATTATTTGTTCAGTGATTCTTGACTACCTCCTCTACAAATAGGCAGAAAGCCAGACACAGAGAACGAACAAGTGCATATCACATGTAGTCCTTGCCTGGAAAAGGTGGTATTAATTCAAGATAGTCTGAAATATATACATCCTGCCCCAGCTTCCAAGAAGAGCATTCTTAAATAATATACAAGATCCTACTAGGAAAAATAATAACACATAGACACTATTTTTATCTGCTCTGCAAACACTGAAAAATCAGATTTAAAGAGCGAAACTTCAAACCTTCAGCTTATGGAACACAGGGACTTATCCCTAACCTCACTCCATCATCCTGTATCTTTAGGCTCACCTGAATCAGTCAGGGATCTAAAAAGACAGCTCCATCATGAAGATTGTTGGGAGAGCTTCAGAATAACTGTGGAGCGACCCTGGGCAGCTGTAAGGATGGACAGGCAATTGGGAACTGGAAATATGGGAGTTGGAAAAGAACAAAAGGGCAGTTCTAAGATAATTTGAGAGACATTGTAAATAACTTCACCTGAATAAAGTCAGTCAGTTTTACATGTATGACCTGCTGTGCAGACAAACCTGGTCTGCATTTAATTGATCATTACTTAGAGGTCATCTGTAATGCTCTTTTCTGAAGCAGAAAAGGGAGGTTAGAAGTATTCGGAGTGATCTTCCGATGTTTGGGGAAAGAATAAAAAAGAATTAACCTGGGCTAGTTAAAAGTGGTTTGGGCTAGGAGATGGAAGGCAATGCTCAGAGGCAGACTCCTTAGTGGTAGGCCTAGGGCGGACTGTGTGTCCTCTGATCCAAATAAGAACGGAAGGCACCAAGCCAACTCTCTGCTGCTTAGACTGTTATTTTCTGTAAGAGGAAACTGGGGTTTCTTTTTATCAGCTTAGCAAGAAATAAGAATTACATAGTGGGTATCATACAAAAGACAGCACAAAAGGAATTGAAACTATGAGCCAGTCACTTAGAATTTCTGAGTGTCTGCTCTCATCCAGACAGAAGTAATCATCGACTCCATAGAACCATCTTGGATGTTAGCAAATAATATTAAGGAAGTGCTAAGCAAAATGCAGCAGTGTAATGGTTCTGACTACTTTTAGTGAGACACACTGATGTGAGGACAGGTCCTGGGTTGTCACAGGGAGCCTTCTGAAGGTGTCCCTGAGGCTATCCAAGGACTGATAATCAGAATACAGTTGGACAGCAATGTCTGCATCTCGGGAGGAAAGAGTAGAAGGGAAGAAGATTTGCATGTCAGTCATACCCGTGTTTGTATGTGCTAGTTGAGGCAATGATATTCGGGCTGAAATCAAAGGAGAGTATATGGGGTGAAAAGAGTTTCTCTGTGTAGCTTTGGTGTCTGTCCTGTAGCTCTTGTAGACCAGGCTGGCTTCAGACTCACAGAGGTCTATCTACCTCTGCCTCCGGGCTGCTGGGCTTAACGGTGTGCACCACCACCACCTGGCTAGGGCTATGGTTTTAAAGTGAGGAAATACCAACATTTAATCTTCAAATCATGGCATATGGTAGATAAGTAAGGAAAAAGAAAAGAGAAGGGTAGGACTAACAGTGTACACTAATAGAGGTAGGTATGTAGGAAATACGATGTGCTAAGGAAGAGTTATTCTACCTAGAAAAACATTCTTGGTTTGAAGTGAGTCACCCGGTCAATCGGTGTTGCTATATATCTAGGGTGTCGTGCACTAGTCTAGATCTTCAGGTAAAGCAGTGGTAAGTCACAAACCTTGTTGTCAGTCTGTGTTCTAAAGGCAATCCAGGAGACAGAGAGTAGACAATATGTACATAACGTGACAGCGCTGTTGAGCATGAGGAGAATAAAGGAACCTAAGGATAGAGAGAAATTGTGACAGGTTTTAGTTAATATAGATGAGGTTTTGTGGATGAAATGGCAAGTGAGCATAGGGATAAGACAAATGGGTACCTAAGGAAAACCCTCATCCTTGTAGAAGGGACACCAGCACAGTGAGTCCTGAGGTAGGTATGTGCTAAGGAAGAGTTATTCTACCTAGAAAAACATTCTTGGTTTGGGGGCCTCATTAATTTGATAATAAACCCTTCTCGCTTTAAAGAATGCTATTATTTTTCACGATTGTTAAAAAACAATGAAAAATAAACAAGTCACCAAGAAGAGAAACAAAACAAAACAAAGAACAATACCATCTTTGGTGACCATGATCGCTACCAAGGCTGCATCTGATTCTTTCTGTTAGCATCTGTGGTCCTTGATGTCTCAATGTACTGTTCTTTTGGTTGTATTTTCTGCTTTAAAATTATTAAGAAAACTGCATAAATATTGGATTAAATATAAGCAAATGCTGTGACTAGACACAAATGTTCTGTAGTTTTATATGACCCACTCAAAGCTGGGAGAGCACAATACACTCAACAAATACTCTGTTAGAAGGTGGACTATAAAGCAAGGAGCCATATTTACAGGCCTGCAAAGTATAGAAGACGGGACCATGAAATTTTATATAAGGTTTTTATTTTATTAAAAGTCATGTAATCACGAACCAAAATACCTAGCTGCAGAGTGAAGATTTTATTTTTTTAAAAAAGGAGCTTGTTCAAATAACCTGATTCTCTTCAGATTTGGAAACAAATGAGTGATTTGTTGCCTTCCATGCACTGACGGTGACAGACCCACAAGAACAACACGGAAGAACTGTGTGAGCTGATGTTGGCTAAGGCGAAAGCAGGGCTGTTTCCTGAGTACGGTTTTCATCAAAATGATTCAGTGGTAAACACAGAGGACAGAAGATCCCGCTCATGAAGATCAGCACCTTGATGCTCTTAGAAAGGCAATCCTGCTTACTCTTTGGAGGAATAAGAATGAAATATCAGCTCATTTGTGCTGGCACAGTTACTCAGGACCACGTCACGAGGTGGTATTGTTCACGAACTATTCTGAGACACAGGAAGTGGGCACAGTCAGGTGAGGGGGTGACCTGCTGGGGGCTATGAAGACATTCAGAAGCAGAAGTTGTATTTGTAACAGGCGGGGCAGCTCCAGGAAAAAAGTACTGAGCTTGGTAGAGAGCCAGGGGGTGTGTCCTTTACTCATTCTAACCTTGTGTAGCTCCAGGGAAGTTTTCAACTTCTTGCTTGTTCAGGATTTCTCATATCCCGATGTGAATATTTAAATTATCATAGTTTTTGGTGTGCATCCTATGATGCCGTTTATACTTTTAATGGAGAACACTACCATTCTCTATAGCTGAAAAAGAAGGTGACTGAAGTGTTTGAAATGTATAAGATGGTTTAAACATACAGGCTCCTTGGGTGATGTTGAGCTTCACACATGTGAACATTTCAAAAGAACCACCCCCACATGGAACTCTGGAGATTCTCATTTGCAAGAGAGAAAACCTCACCAAACACCATGTAATTCAGAGAAGGACCAGTCTCCTGCACTCATGTTAATGCTGATACCTTGAATTTTTAATTTAATTCTGAGTGAAGCAAGCCTCAGCTCAGTGCCCAGATCTGGACTTCCTGGGCAAATCTATGAGATCCCCTTGTAAAAGGGTAGCTTGTCTTGGAGCAGCATACTGCTTCTGTTTTGATTAATGAAGAACAACATACAGAGAGAACGCTGACTCCACGTACAACAAAGTACAGTAAGCCTGTCAGTCCCTTGACAAGTGCCACGATGCTTCGCAGGTGAGAATGTGTGGGGGCCTTACTGCTGGGAATATCACTTTAAGGTGTGTTACTTTTATTGATGTTGTGTTTGATTAGCTCTGTGAAGGTGTGATACTGTGTCTGTCTTGAGCACCTGATGATCTACTCAAGATCTGAATGGCCAATAGCGAAGCAGGAGAAAGGACAGGCAGAGCTGGCAGGCAGAGAGAATGCTGGGGAGGAGAAAACTGGGAGAAGGGGTTTGGAGAGGGAGCCGAGAAGGAGGAGGGCATAAGGTGCCAGCCATCCAGCTGCACAGCAATCTATAGAGTAAGAGTAAGATTCACAGAAGAGAAAAGGAAGAGCCCAGAGCCAAAAGGTAGACGGGATAGTTTAAATTAAGAAAAGCTGGCAAGAAACAAGCTAAGCTAACGTCATGGTTATAACTAAGAATAAGCCTCCACGTGTGTTTCATTTGGGAGCTGGGTGGCAGGCTCCTCAAAAGAGTCCAAAGAACATAATCACATCATATTATCACTACACCTTACGACTGGGTATTAAGAACAGTAATACCATATATTCAGTGTACAGCCAGTCACACACAGATTTCTCTTCTTCAAATATTTGGTTACTAATCAGATTATAGAGACAAATTTGGCCTTACAATGTCTATTATTTTTAACAACTGAAGCTCAGAGATGCAAAATAATTTATATGAAGAAACATGGATGTTTCGCTCGAGTGGATGGATTTTCTTCTCTGTTGCCTCATAACCAGGCTTTTCCACCTGGTCTGCAGCCCCCCCTGCTCTCCTCAGACCATCTCTGGTCACCAGTGAGGGCCTTGAGAGCTGGCTGCTACAGGCCTCACCAACTTTGGGAGAATCCCTGCTGGTGCATTATTTCCACTGTCCTTTATCTGTCCCCTCCAAGTGTTCATGTACTCTATTAGGTATCAGCTCTGCTTGGATCTCAGGCAGCCCTCCTTGATGGACTAGGTAAGATTTTTCCAGTATAACATACACACCACCACCTCTTTGCTCTTGGCTTTTCCTAAAACAGCAAACTATGCTAATTACTTTTCTTTGTAGGAGGGTCTGTATTTCCTAGTCCCCTCTTCCTTCCTCTCTCCTTCCCTCCCTCGTCTCTGTTACAGTCTCGTAAGTGGTTACTCACCCACCTCACTGATGTATCTTCCCGGGATTCTGGCTTTTGAATAAATGAATTTAAGAAACAGAAGGTGATCTATTATCATCCTTACTCCGAATTTCTATTCTTCCTATACATCACATTTTCAGATGAACAATTTTATGGACACGAAAGAAGTCTATGTGTTTGTTAATATGGTGGCTATATGTGTCTGCCTATCCTTTGCCTCATTGGAATCGGCATTCACTTAGCATTTAGCTCACCAAGCCATTCAATAAGGAAGAATGCAAGTCTACTCATGAGCCTACATCAGCAGGGCTTAGAACTAGTGAGCACCACAAACACTCTCAGCCAACTGGAGGGGTTGAGAGCAGGGTCAACATACCAAGTGTATAAAGTGGCATTTCTCTTTGCCACAGATCACGTAAAAACCGAGTAAGGTGGGTATTGCTGTCCAGAAACTGCCACCTGCTGACAGAGAGAGGGAAAACCATGTTGGGTGCAAACTGGCCCCAGGCCTCTTCCTGACACAAAGAGGACACACCTACATGCCCTGCAAATCTTAGCTCACCAGTGCTGAGAGCCAGAACGTTTTTCAAATGTTTTAAAAATTGAGCTATTTACTATTCTAAGCTGATTAGTTCATTATTATTAATTATTAGCTGATTATTGGCTCAGATATTCATGAGCTAAGAGTATATAAAATAAATTTGTGTACACACACATACACACACACACACACACACAGAGAGAGAGAGAGAGAGAGAGAGAGAGAGAGAGAGAGAGAGAGAGGAAGCTGACAGGCAATAAAATGGCTGTTTGGAGTACAGATAATAAAATATCTACTTTAATATGATTTCTGAGAAGTAGTTACCCAAGGTCAGCATGTTCACTGTGGAAAGAGAAGGAAGTTGGGCTTTATCTATCTTCACTATGAACTCAAAGGCACAATGCCCTCAGTGGCGCTCACCCATAAGCAACTTGCATAATTAGTAACATTTCTTCTTTAAACACTTTTAATAGAGAGTGAGGTGGCTAGATTTATTGGAATCACAGAAAAATATTGGTCAGGCATGTGCCCAGTACATCCTTGAAGCATAGACAACATAACCTTTGTATCTTATAATATTTTGATTTTCCAAATGTTTTAAATGTGAGTAGGGTAATTTGAATTCGGGACGTGAGAATTTTCTAGACTGCTTAAATTGGTAGGTTTTAGAGCGTTTGGCTTTCTGCAGAATTACTGCGTTCATACCATCTTGTGCTTGCAAGCATGGTTTTGTCATAGGAAAAGGATGTAGAGATGTCAGCAATGGTTTCACAGCACTTCCTCCTTCCCTGCCTTTGCTGTCAACCCCACTTGCGTCTTCACTTCAGTGGTTAGGGGTCACATGGGTGAGTGTTCAGAAACCAGTTCACCCTAAGGACGGGAAATGGCTTTACTGCCACTGTTCATATCGGAGGATCGAACCTTTCTGTCTTCCAGAAAGTTCCATAAGCAACATTTTAGAGACATAGTAGGTCCCTCCATGTCGGATTTTGAATCTATTTGCAGACACAGCAGGAAAATTCATGATGAAGATGAATGGCTCTTCAGATTGTTATACATTAGACAGCAAATGATATTAGCTAAAATCCTGGAAAAACATAAATTTTGACTGAGGGAACCAGGGTTCAGGAAGTAGGTCTTGTAGAAAAATTATGCAGACTTTCAGTTCTGCATCATTTAGAGCTGTCTGCAGACTTGGACCCGAGCCAACCCTTGTCTGCTCCATGTCTTCTCTAGGTGACCCCGAGTATGCTGTAAAATGCCATTTAGTGTCATCTCCTGTCTTTCCACAAAGATTGTTATGAAAGAGTAAACAAAATAAAGACAGCATGGCCGCCAACACTATATTCTCAATTTTTAAAATATTGAGCAAATCATATATCCTAATTTTTTTGCACTCATAAAATAGGAATAATGTTAATAACGCCTTATAGATACTGTGAAAGTCAATGAGAGGAGGGAGAAAACACATTTCTTGAAGACACTTACGTGCAATCACACAGATGTATGATTAAGATGTGTGGTAAGAAGAAGAATAAAATAGAAACATATTTAAAAATGTTAGGATGTAAAAGCTACCCGGAGAGGGAGAACAAGCTATTAAAATTTATCCCAATTTAATGAAACTGTAAATGACTGGTAAGAAAGCATCGGCAATTTGCTCTGGTTACTGTCTAGTGATGGACTTGAACTGAAAGTTGCCCTCTCTCTTAGTCATTTCCCAGTATTGTACAAACTGAGGTGTGGGGGTGTAAGAGAAGATGCAGAGGCAGGGTTAAGTCCACATCCCTAACTTTATTAACCTGGAGTTATACTCTTATAACACGGCCTTTCAAAAACGTCCACACTAACAGAGCCCCATCCCTGCGGTGGCAGTGTGGAACAGGGGGCTGGGTGGTCCCTGAGACTGTCTTAAGCTTTCACGGGGAAGTGGTGACGTCACACTTTAAACGCAGGTCTGCCTGAAAAAGAAGCCCACCGTCCTCTCCTTCATCCCCCTGTAATTTCCAAGCAACCCCTCACAGGGGACACTTACTCTTTTTTGCTTCCTCCAGCTTGTCCTTGGCCCTTTTCTCTGCCTGCAGGAGCTGTTGGATCCCCTGAGACTGGCTGGTCATGGTGCCTTGCTCCAAGGAAGGTGACTTCTGTGGAAGCTGGGACACACAGGCCCTTTTATCCTCTAATGAATTACCCCACAACTCGGCTTGTTTTGCCAACAGTGAACACTTAGCTGTCTGTTTCAAACTTGCCTGGTTGGACTAGCGAGTTGTGTGCCAAGGTGAGCCCAAGGAAGAATCCAGAAAAACAAGTTAGTCACCCCAAGAAGTTGACAATTCATTTGATCTCTCACTTCACCTCTGTATAAGCAAGGTAACTCTAATGGGTTGTTCAGTTTACTTACAAAGAAATGGGAGAGACATTTTTCGGTATGCTAGCCCATTATATACCCATAAATACTGAGTTGCTGCTGAAATACCTTTCAGGCTGCAACCTTTCCCCAGCTCCTTGTGTCTGTAATACTTGCCTCAGGCCTTTATCTGTCTCTGCTTGAGGAATTATTTGCTTGAGGAAAACAGATTTTCCTTCTTTGAAACAGGAAAAATTTCTGGCTTTGTTGGGGGAGCTCTATTCTCCTCCTGTCCTAGGCCTCAGGTGACAAGACAGAAAGAGCAAATGGGGTATATTGTGTGGTTCTCTTGCAATGCTTTGTTGCAGATCTTACTACAGTGTCTAAACCAACAATAAGAGAAATTATACCACACACCCTTGAGACTAATTTAAGCACTGCCTTTTCCATTACTTGGTGTCTATGTATGCCTATGGACAATGCACAATGGTGCCCTCGTATTTCATCCGATTCTGTAAAGTAATGGACAAACGAGAAAGCCACTCATGGAAAAGAATGTAATATAATATTTGTATGTATCCACTACTTTTATTGGAAAGGAGGGGTAAATTTCTTTTTAACTCATACTATGATCTACAGATTGGCTTTTCATGGCCTTTGGCTTCATAAGTAACACCTGGTCTGTCAGGGTCAATTTCTTTCAATAGGCTCTTGGGTTTGAAAACAAATTTAAAACAAACTGAGAGGTAAACCTTTTAATGTTATTTTTTCATTATTGTTACATACATATCCCAATTATTGATTCTTTGGGAATTTTACTACATGTACCCCAGTCCCATTTACTTCCCAGTCACTCTATATCCACCCCTCACCCCTCTGCAGCATCCTTCCCAAAAGAGACCTCTCTCCCCCAATTAATTGAAATAAAAAACAACAACAACAACAAACCAAACAAGAAAACCACTTTCTCCTTGTCTTTCCTGTCTTTCAACACTTCTTCATTGTCCTAGTGGCGTTGGGAGCTGTGGTGTCACGCAGTACACCCTTTTGTCTAATCATCCCTGCCCACAGCCCACAACTGTTCATTGAGTCATTGGTCTGATTCAGGGCCTCTGGCTTCAGGCACACCATTATCACTGGACCCTCACTGAAACTCCTCCTCACACATCCTGCGGTTGACCTGAGTCATGGAGCTCCTGCAGCTAAGACTGTCTTTCTGAAGGATAGTCCCTTTTCACACTCCAGCAGGTCATAGATGGGGTAGATGCCAGGGTGGGTCAACACAAGGTCCAGGATGTGGTCCTGGGTTGGTCAATCTAGGCCACGGGGACTGCCCACATCAGGTGAGGCATAGAGTCAGCTTTCCTATGGTCATATCATTGGGGTCAGCTTTCCCATGCCCATGTGATGGCGTGTGACTATATCTCCCAAGTGAGAGGCTCCAGCTCTCCCAGGAGGGGGTGGAGCCAGCTCTCTTGCAGCGCTCACGAGCGGTAGAATTGGTTATCCCAGGGCCAGTGAAGGGTGGGGCACAACCCTCAGACTTAACAAGCATGTTTCCTGTGGCTCCCTGTACTAACACACACTATGGACATCAACACAGAACCTAGCAGCAGGAGTGTCACAGATCGAGACATGACTCTCTGCTGTAGCTAAGGACAGACATCACTATGGCTCTGGTGGCACACAGATCAGTATGGCCCCAGGGGTAGCATGGCCCTTGGACACAAAACATGGTCTCAGGTGGCTGACCAGACCCTGTACATGAGCATGGCCTTCAGTGGTTACTGAAATCATGAACATCAACTCAGACCCTGGCTGCTATAGGACCACCGACGCAGACAGGACCTTTGGCAGCAGCCTGGGCCTGGACGTCATCACCATAGCGCCGGGTGGTGGTAAGCAGGCCACTCATATCAGCCTTTACTTACCGCCTTCTCTTTTTCAGTTCTGCCACTTTCCACAGCACGCGAACCATTCTGCTTCTCTCTCTCTCTCTCCCATTTCTGCACCATATATTTGCTCATCACAATGGCACCTACCTGTGGATGCCCTGTGCATGCCCTGTGGATGCCTGTGGATGCCCTGTGAATGCCCATGGATGACTGTGGATGCCCGTGGATGACTGTGGATGCCCGTGGATGCCAGTGGATGCCTGTGGATGCCCTGTGGATGCCTGTGGATGACTGTGGATGACTGTGGATGTCCTGTGGAAGCCTGTGGATGCTCATGGATGCCCGTGGATGCCCATGGATAACTGTGGATGCCCTGTGGATGCCTGTGGATATCTGTGGATACCTGTGGATGCCTGTGGAATTTTATTGAATATCTTAGCCTTCTAGAGAAAAGGTAACTCACAGGGATTGATGTTAAGTCGGAGGGGGTCAGTAGAACAGTCTTCATGTTGTTCTGGAAAATGCTATGCATCCCCAAGGATTCCCCAATCCTCAATAAACTCCTCATTAGCTCAACACTATCCCCTTCCATGTTGCTTTGTTTCATTCTTTGAAGTTAAATCTGCATAAACCATAACCTACTTGGGCATGCATCTTAATCAGCTGGAGGGGTCTTCCAGTCTCATATGTAAGAAAGTTCATGATGAACACATAGAAGACACTTAAGAGTTAGTGTTCCTGACAACATCCTAAATGACTGTCAGAGGAGGTTGGACTCTGATAGGGTAAACAGCAGGGTTGCTGGCAGGTAGATAAAAGCTTATACTCAGTTTTCCTCAGAGACCTGTGCAAACAGTTTCTTTCTGCTCAGAAGGGTCACTGCTTTCTTACCTCCCTCTACCTCCAGCAGATGGGGTGTCTAGTCCCTTATTAGCACAAATCCTCAACACATATCAAAGTCCCTGGGCTCTTCTGGTCCATAAAGTTACTCCTTTCCTCCCCCTCCACACCACACACGTACACACACAATACCTTACAGGTTGTTCCAGTCTACAGGTTTCGCTTCCTTTCCAGCCTGTTTGTTTTATAACTGGTAAGGTTTTTGTCTTCTTCTGTCCTCCCTGCCATCTAAGAGGTGGTCACAGCAGCTTCGGACCCTCTAAAATGTCTTTGGTTACTCTACCGTCCCTGAGAGGTAGCCATGGCAGTTTTGAACTTTCCCAAATAAACCTCTCCATCCATGAAGTGGCCTAGTTCAGCTGTTTCGCTGTGCCCTCACAGTGAGATCCCTTCCCACCACTCCCATAAAGTGATATGCATGATACTCACTTTGGGACTAATTATACCATAAGCACATATGCACTAGGAGAACTCAGCATTGACATAATTAATATTGGTCTGGCAAAATTGTCAAATCTCAATCAGTATTTTATACTTAAGTTCTTGTAGCAGTAGTATTAACAAGGTTGAAACTTACCTGTTAAATTAGAGAGAAGGGATTTTACAGTTATTTATCGGGCCTTTTCAAAACACCTGAGATTTAAAGTGAACACGTCAATGGCAGGAATCACTAAATGTGCCCCCTTTATGGTCTCTAAGAAAGTTTAATTTTATGATAGGAGAGGTTTATCTCTCTCTTGCTTACTTAGTAGAAGAGTCTTACAGTCCAGAAGCATCGACAACAATGAATGATCTTATATTTAGAAAGATGCAAAAGGGGAGAACTGTGGGAAGCCAGAAAAGAGAAGGACCCACTCAAAATTGGAATCTAGGTGGACTTCCTCCTCTCAGACCCTCTCCATTAAGAAGAAACTGTGTTTGGGGGGAGTGAACAGTCCACTTAGGAACAGAAGAAGGCCTCACATCTCAACCAGAGGTCTCGGGAAAAGCCAAAAGAAAGCACAGGGTCAGCACCATGTGAGCTTAAATTGATGCTTTCAGGCTATTCTGTAGATGAAACCATACTCATCCCCAGTGACAAATAAATAAGACAGTAAGAGTGAGGAGAAGCGAACAACTGAGAAGATGGAGACAGCACATTGGTAGTGGAGATGGAAGCCTGGCTAGGGAACTGGCAGAGTGTTTATATGTCACTATACAATGGGTTCTTATAACTGAGTCATTGCCTCTTTTTTTTTTCTAATAGAAGACTAGTAGCTCTTATCTTCAAGCTCACTGTGTAGTCAGACTTGATGGCCCGGATTTCCTGCTAAAGCCTACTGGGAGCACAGTTGTGTACCACCATACTTCACTTATTCTTTTTTTTTTTTTTTTTTTTTGGAATAGTTGTTTATTTGGGATCAAGGTTTTGAGGATTCCGTTCATGGTTCCATGGTATTGTGTTCCTTGAAGAACATTATAGTGGCAGGAGCATGTTCACCTCATGACAGACAGACAGACAGACAGAAAGGTGAATAGACAGACGTGGAAGTTTAGGGGAGCAGAATGTGCCTGTGCCATAACCTTCAAGGTGCAAGTTCTTGGATTATTTTTTAAGGCTCCAATCTCTTTAACGACCACACCCTCTTTGTCATCAACTTTAAACACATTTCTTTCTGTGGCCAGACTTCACATTTTCCTTCCTTCCTTCCTTCCTTCCTTCCTTCCTTCCTTCCTTGACCCTAGAGTGGCTCCCAGGAGCCCACGTTGATGTCCCCAGTTAGTCCCTTGGGCAGCTGAGGATAGGGAACCTGAAATGACCCTATCCTATAGCAATACTGACGAATATCTTGCATACCACCATAGAACCTTCATCTGATGATGGATGGAGATAGAGACAGAGACCCACACTGGAGCACTGGTCTGAGCTCCCAAGGTCCCAATGAGGAGCGGAAGGAGGGTGAAGATGAGCAAGGAAGTCGGGACCACGAGGGGC